TGGCAGCAAATTGGCATTTTAGAATCGGCAACCACTGCGGAAGAGTTAATATATGGTCCAGGAATCGATGACTCTTTGTAACTTGGAAACAAAATTTCTTCTGAACAAAAAAAAGTAAGTTGAAACTTTGAATGCGTTTTTCTCAAAATGACATTTTCCAAGTCGGTGACCACGATTACTCGAATACCATTAAACCGATTTATTTAAAATTTAGTGTGCTTCATTTACACATATGTCTAGTTCGTGATCGAAGGACTTTTTTATATGCAAAACTTTTTTTTATATAGCTGAAAATCGACCGTATTTTTTAACGAAAATCATACTTTTGACTTTGACAGGTCGCCATTTTGTCAAATTTTTTTTTTTTAAATCCTTCGATCACGAACTAGATAATCTTATAATAAATGTAAATCAATTTCATTTTTGTATTTCAGACGAAGTATACTTGCAGAATGCTGGTCACCGCAATTCGCCTTTTTTCTTAAGGCGCCACTTCAATTGCTCATATCTCCAAAAGTTTTTGTTAAAAAATTTTTTTTTCTTTTAAATTACAGCTTTTTACATGTACTTTTAACTAATAAATAGTATTCTTTAAAAAGATTCATTGTTCTTTTGGAAAATATTCTTGTAAAAAGCATTATTTGTTGAGTTACAACTGGTGTTCCCCCCTTAAATTAGGCAGACCATACAAGAAAATGGAACCAAACTGGCATTGTTTATAAATTTAATTGCAATAATTGCCCTGCTACTTACATCGGCGAATCAAAACGCAGTTTGGAAAAGCGAATTAAGGAACACAAAAATATTAAAAACATTGAGTCTGTTGTAAATGAACATCGATCTACTCGTAATCATTCTTTCAATTTTGATGATGTTAAAATTTTAGATTTAGAACCTACCCTAGTAGAAATTTGTCGTGGATGCACTAGATTGACTCAAGTTACTTGACAGTTTTTCTCGCGGACGCTGATTCTAGCTGAACTGATAAATAACTGTGAAGTTACTGATCAGTGCTTTTTGAAAGAAATTCAAGTTGAACTTGATAATTCCACGACTCAAAGCTATCCAGTTTTTTTAATGGCACTGTCCAGTGCTGCTCGAAATTAAATTCATATCCTTGTCATGGCGGTGGCGCTTCAATAAGTCTAGTAACTGGACAGCTATGCTAGGATTTTGTGTATTGACATTTCGCTTGCTTGATTTAAAAAAATTACAACTTGTCTATAAAAATTAATAATAATAATATTAATATTCCTTTCTCAAAAAAAGACAGTGCATACAAAACACATGAAAATGTATCGAAATATCTCGGTGGTCGAAAAAATTGAATTTAAGAAAAAATGAACTTTGCTTTCCAGAGCATCTAAATCAATATTCATTTTATGAAAATCACTGTAAATTATTGTTCCACATATATATTTTTTGCATAACTTATCTTATTGCAATAAATATACACTTGCAAAATATTATTTGTTGTAAATGTTTGCCAGCTGTCATGAATCAGAAACGAACATAACCTATATTTAGTTGAAATCACTTGATTGGCCCAAGACAAAATAGCGCGCGCTTTTTTAAAATAATAAAATTTATTAAATTATAATAAAATAATTGCAATAAATTAAATTATTATGAAAATAATATTACCTTGAATAAAAAGTGTTTTTAGTTTTTAAAAAAAAATGATTAAACAATTATTATTATTTTCAGACAAATTTTACAAATATAGTAGAATATTATTTTTCTGTTTGAGTATATTATAATAATATAATAATAATAATAATAATAATAATAATAATAATAATAATAATAATAATAATAATAATAATAATAATATTATATTATATCAATAATTATTAATTTATTAAAATAATTTTATTTATAAAATTTTACATATAATTTTTGAGGATAATAAATAAAAAAAATTAGTAATTAGTTTTTTATAATTGTCTAATGTTTAAATTAAATTATAAGTAAATCATTTAAAATCAAATAAACATCTAAAATGTTTATTTGCCTAGAAAATAATAAAAATAATATGCACAAATTCATAATATTATTAGGTACAGTGAAATACGTCAAGCATTTATTCTAATATCACTGATCAGAACGGCCGAGTTGCGTAAAGCGTGCGTTTCTTTCGTTCCCGCCCAGCGGACCCGTGTTCGCTCCCCGGTAGCCCCAAGATTTTTTCGTTGAAACTGCGAGAAGTGTTTTAAGGTTTATGTTATGACATTCATATTAATATAAAAATTATAATTGTTTCAGTGTTGTTAACAGTTCAGGTCAAGATGTTGCTTCAATCGTTTTACTTATGTAAATTTTTTTTTTAAATCCAGTTTAATTGTGAATGAAAAATTACATTTTTATAACGAATTACTATATTTAGTGCAATATATTTTCTTATAATAATTTTTGTTGATAATTGGAATATTTTTTTTAATTACATAAAATAAACGTGTTTACTACATTAAATCTTATTATTAAATGAATTTCGAAATATTTAAAAGAATTAATTTGACTAGTTTTTCAAAAGTCCTATTGATAAATAATTATCAAGTTGGGCTGGATAATAACTTGATGAAAAAAGCGTGACATGACATTCGAGTTTTTAGCTAGCTGGTCAGTCAAGTAACTAGACAGACTCCAGCGCGACTAGGCAGTTCCTTTAAAATAGCTAGGACAAATTTCTACTAGGGTAATTATAAAAAAAGATTGATTTCTGAAATATTACACATTAAAGATAATAATAATACAATTAATGAAAAGGAAGACATTCAATTTCTTAGCAATACTTATTTTCCTCTATTAAGGAAATTGAAAGAATGATTTTGTTTCTGCAAACTACTCGAAGACTACTTTCTGCTTGTCCGATTGTTAATTTAACTATTTAATGTAGTCATCTTTACTACTTTTATTAGTTGCTATAACTATCCTTTTTAAGTTTTGACTTGTAAATTTTTCATCTTTTAATTATATTATAAATTGTTTAATTGCATAGTGCAGTAAAATCTACTACTAAAAGTAGTAGTTTTAATTGGAAACGATTTGTAAATTTTACATCAAAAACTTTTTTTAAGCTCATTGAATTAATTAAAATAGTAAAAAATTACTACTTAAAGTAGTAGTTTTAATCACAAAGGATTTGTTAATTCTACAACAAAAATGTTCTTAAAGCCTATTGTACCACTTTGAGTAGTAAAATCTACTACTTAAAGTAGTAGTTTTAACTGGAAACTATTTGTAAATTCAACATCAAAAATCTTCTTTAAGTTTATCGAATTAATTAAAATAGTAAAAATCTACTACTTAAAGTAGTAGTTTTAATTACAGACGACTTGTTAATTATACAACAAGAAATTTTATTGAAGCCTATAAAATCATAGAAATTAATAAAAAATTTACTATTCAAAAAGCAATTATATTAATTAAAGAAAATAATTCCTTTTACTACATTTCATATAACTGGTGAACAGTAGTTGGATTTACTACTGTTTAAATTTTGAGTTGACTACAATTCCACTTGTTTTTACTACCTTAAGAAAGTTGAATTTCTCGGGAACATTTTTTTCAGTGTATATAAAAATGTAACCTAATGTTTATTTTAAGTGCTTTAATTTGTTATTTATTTCCGACGGTAGTGTATATTGTTAATATGTGATATTAATTAATAATGAAATATCATTTGTTATTGTACACATCAGCAAAAATATGCTTTCACAGTAAATTATGAGTTATTAGTTTAATACCAATAAAATAATATACAATGCTTTATTTCATCAAAGATTTAAATAATCCATCGAAAAATTAAAATTGCAAACTTTCAAAACATGAACTAAGAAACGTTTAGTTTTATCAAATTAAAAAAAAATTTTATAATGAAAAATGAATTATTTTCATCTTTTACGGGATTAATTTAATCTGCAATTGAATATCTCATATAGTTTACTGTGATTATCAATATAATTTTTACACTTAATTTTTAAAAAATAAAGTAATACAAATTCAATAATAAAAAATAGAAAATGAAGAAATAAATAATAAGTGACACAAATGCAATAAAGTGATAAATAAAATTGTTGAAAAACAATAATGAATTATCGAGTTTTTTAAAAATAAAAGTTATTGGTTTTTTTTTTGATGAAATAAATGTTTTTATTTGTAAAACTCCAAGTAATTTAGAGACGATGTGAACTTCATGCTGTCTGCTGAACGACTGACTATACACTTCTATAAGAAAATAAATTGAACCCTACTCTAACACATAAGTGATGATGAATAGAGTATGTCAGTCGCGTTAATCAATGAAAATAATTATAAATGCACAAGCACTATAATTATTATTCGTTTTCCGTAATTACGAATCATTATACAGTCCATGAATTAACAACTCTTATATCCACAATTCTTTTTAAGCTATTATATTTTTGCACGAAGTTCAGACAACGCTAAAAACAGTAGCACGCACAATGTAAAGAAGAACACATTTAATAATCTTAAATTTTATTTCTCAAATAAATAGTTATAATAAAAAAACAATGATTAAATTATTTTATTGTTAAATATATTGTTAAAACTTTGGATAAAACGTGTTTCAAATTTTTCTTTTTAAATATTTTTTAGTTTTAATAAAAAAATGAAATAAATGATAAAATTATGTTTGAATAAATATTTTTCAAAAAAAAATTTATTAGAAAATATAATTTCACATTAATTATACAATGGTTGCTGAATTTTCGTTTAAAATATTAACATTCTTAGGAGTGTGGAGGCCACAATCTTGGACTTCAAAATGGTCAATTCGCGTTTATAATACATGCAATTTTTTTATGTTAATTTTTGAATATTACTTTGCACTAACATTCTTAATAAGTTGTTTTCAAAATATTCACAATATGGAAAATCTTTTGCAAAACATATTTTTCTTCTCTTCAAATTTTATAATAGCATTTAAAGTGACGCATGTCACTATATTTCGTGAGGAAATAATTTCCTTTATAAATATGTTTTTGGATGAAAAGTGTTTACCTCGCAATAAGGATGAAATGGAAATTTACAAAATTCTTATTGACAAAGAAAGGTAAAATGTTTGTAATAAAAAATATTTACGACAGAATATTTATCTTTTAATTATTATTGAAGTAAAATTATAATCGAAGAATTTTTAATTATTGATGACTATTATAAATATTAATTTCTATAGTAATTTTTAGATTTAATTCGCGAATTTTTGTGATATCCGCGTTTCTTACAACTACTTTATATACGTCACTACCTCTAATATCATCAGGACCAGTGGTATCATTACCCTATATCAGTTGGATTCCTTTTGATATTAATTCTAGAAAAAAATTTTGGATTGCTTATTTGTATGAATGCATTGGGGTTTATTTAGCAACTCTTATATTTTCCGCTATGGAAACCCTTCCAGCTATTATGATGCAACAAATTTGTATACAATTGGAAATTCTAATGAGTCGTCTTCTTGAAATTCCAAAATTAAAACAAAAACAATATTTGTCTTCTACTGTTTATTATGATGAGTATCAGCTACTTAAGGATTGCATAGATTATCATGAATTTATTTTTTCGTAAGTTTAAAATAGTTCGTTGTAAAGAAAAATGTATTTATTACAAAAAAAATAGAAATAAAAATATTTTCTTTTAATGGGAAAAAGAAAACATGAAAATCAAATTTCATATAGAGTGTTTTATACTAAATTGACCAGATAGCACGGAAACTTGCAGCAAGCTTGCGGCAAGCTTACCGTGCAAGCTTGTCAAGCTTGTCTGCGCCATCGAAATGTCCCGCCCAGGGCAAGCTTGCCGTGAAAGCTTGCTGTAAGCTTTCCAGGAAAGGTTGCTGCAAGTATACTAAGCTTGCTACGTAAGGTTGCAGGAGAATTTTAACAAGCTTCTGGAAAGGTTGCTGTAATTTTAAAAAAATACATTTTAAATTAAAAAAAAAATTTATTTGTTTTCTAAATTTGAAAATCCTTGTGACGTTTATTATTATTAATTATGTTCTGTTTATTTTCAATAAGTATTTTCATATTTTAAATAAATTTCATAAAATATAACAATAATAACATTGATTAATTAACAAATAAAATAGAAAACAGAAAATTTCTATTTAAAAGCATTTTGAAAAAGCCCGCCGTTTTTCAACTGTTTTTCAACTCATAAAAACTGTCGAGGGTTAAGAGTAAGATTATTTTATTCTCTGATAGTTGGTCGAGTAGGTTCTCGGTTAGGGTCTTTGGTTAGTGTCTGTCGAACCCGGGTTCAATTCCGAGTCCCCTCAAATTTGTTTCAAAAATTTTCTCGTTAAGTTTCTAAATGAAAATAAACAGGACATAATTAATAATAATAAACTTCACAAGGATTTTTAAATTTTTGAAAACAAATAAATTTTTTTTTAATTTGAAATGTTGTTGAAATTCTCCTGCAACCTTACGTAGCAAGCTTACAGCAATCTTTCACGGCAAGCTTGCCGCAATCATTCTTAGTATGCTTGCAGCAATCTTGTAGCAATCTTTCATGGCAAGATTGCAGCAACCTTTCCTGGAAAGCTTACAGCAAGTTTTCACGGCAAGCTTGCCCTGGGTGGGACATTTCGCTAGCTCAGACAAGCTTGCAGCAAGCTTGCTGCAAGTTTCCGTGCTATCTGGATAAGGATATTGTTAAAATTTAATTTTCAGAATGGAGAAAAAGTTAAATAATATTTTTGGTTTTTTAATTGCCGTGCAATTTTTTGTTTCCACATTAAATTTGTGTACGTCTGGCTATTATATGACAAAAGTGAACGTTGATAACGCACATTTTTGGTTGGCGTTATTGATTTTAAGTACGTTTGTATTTCAAATCTTTTTGTATTGTTGGTTCGGGGAAGCGATGACTCAAAAAGTTTGTAACACTTAATACAATTTTTTTCTTTTTTAATGAATGAATAATAACATTTTGTACATTCTAACTAATGAGCATGTTTTTTATATTGCAGAGTTTAGCTGTTAGTGATGTAATATACAAAATGGATTGGAATTTGTTAGGCACACGAACAAGGCACACATTGTTAATAATAATGATGCGGGCAAAACGACCAATACAACTCACGGGATCGACAATAATTATAATGTCAATTGAAACTTTTTTGAAGGTATTATTTATAATAGTAGTAAATCATTAATTCCTAATAATAAATAGATGTTGATGTATATATCTACAATAAATAATTTTTTCTTAAAAATTATTAAGAAAATGTATACAATTTTTTATAATGAAAATTATGAATATAGTGAAATTTATTTTTATTTTAATGAAAATTATTTTCCCATGCATTTTAGATTTTAAAAAGTTCTTACTCAGCTTATAATTTAATAAGGAACTCAAGTTAAATTTTTGATTACTCTACGATGGATAATTTCATCAAAAGAGTCTTCAGTTTTGGATAATATGTCGACTACGAATATTTGATATTGATGAGTGGCCTTTATTAGTTTTTTAGGTGCTAAATGATATTAAATTTTATTATATATTCTATTTTATACATAATAATTATACTGTAAAATAGAATCTATCAACTCTTCTAGTCAAAAGGTGAACTTAAAAAAAAAACAAATTTTTAACGTTGCGACGGTAATACCGTCTTTTTTAGAACTGCAAATTTATTAAAACCTAAGTAGGATCAGATTTGGATAATCAAAAATTTGAATAATAGAAATTTCAAGTGTTTTTATATAATTAAAGTACACTGAAACAAAATATTCTTGATTTAAGAGGAATCCTCTTATTTTAATGCATTTTTCTCTCTAGAATATTGTGCAAAATGATTCCTCTTATTTTAAGAGGAATATTCTCTATTTAATAATATTCCTCTTAAAAGAAGAGAAAAATACTCTCCGACTAAGAGTAATATTCTTGATTTAAGAGGATTTTCGCAAGAGGAATTTTTCTCTATTTTCAAAAATATTTCTTTTCCGTGTACACGGAAAAAATGGAATTGCTTACTTAACTAATGTTTGCTATCAAATCTATCAAAATTAGTAACCACAGCTAAATTCTTTGCTATGACAACAAAAAAGTTTGCTATGATAAACAATATCAGTCTTAATTTTTAAAAATTTAATGCCACAGCAAACTTCTTTGACCTCACAGTAAATTTGTTCGCTGTCCCTATATTAGCTAACGTAATTTGATGTGACAGCAAATAATTCGCTGCCACAGAAAATTTTTTCTGTACGTGTAAAACAATGGAACAGTTAAACTATATATATACATGTGAAGTGATCTGAAGAAAGGGATCTTAGAAGAAAATTAATTTTAGGTTATGTTTACGACAGTTTTACTTGAACTAAAAGTTTATTTTTGTTTTTGTAAAACTGAAATAAATTTTTATTGAATATTTTGAATGTAATGAAGACCTATCATTAGTTTGCATTATGAGTTGAACGTCTTTGTCCATTTTTACTTAAAAATTTCAAAATCTAACCTATAATTTTTTGCTTCTAAGGTTCCATTCTTCAGATAAAGATAAAATAAAAAATAAATTAATTTTAAGATTCGAAAAGGCAAAAAAAGTTACGATAACAGAAGTTCGGATAAAGTGTCCCAGGTGGAATATTAACAGGAGTTTTGATAATTGAGGTTTCACTGTAAATTAATTTTATCATTGAGAACAATATGTCGAAGTTATATAACACCGTCCGACATGATTTTTGACACACAAAAAAATCAAACATTTTCGGAAACTAGGACCAAAAAAAAATACCCATTTCTGTCCGTTTTGCTTGAACAAATCGTTTGTGGGTTTTAGGGGTGAAAACAACCCCTAAATGAAAACTGACAAAATATCTTTTAAAAATTATTAATATTTTATAAAACTTGGTATCTGAGAGTTTTCGGGTATTTTTTTTTTTTTGGTCATTGTTCGACATATTGTTCTCAATGGTAAAATTAAGTTTTTAATGATTTTATAATTAAATATTTTTTTTTTGTATAATTTTCTAATTTTTATTAAATTTTCAGTTCTTAAGAGGGCGGTAGTACCTTCGAAATGTTAAACATTTTTTTTTAATATCACCTTATGATTCGGAAAAATTGATAGATTCTATTTTATAATATTATTAACCGAGTTACAATTTCATTATAATACATATTATATTATGTTATTTGGAATTATTTCGTTTTTGCTTCCTCGTAGGAAGCTTTATAGTGATGACAATTTTCGAACTTCTTAAAATCAATTATTTTAATAAATTTTTAACTAATATAGTTATATTTCGACATGAGGATAACAAATGTCCGGATGTGTGTGTATGGCACCGCTTCTTGTGTACAAATTATCTCAAACAAATGTTGACGGATCGCTATGAAATTTTGTATGCTAATTCTACTTACTAATACCAAAAATCGGACACAAGGATTTCCAAAAATATCCACGCAATTTTTTTTGGGACCATTTTTTCAAAAAGTCAAAAATACATTTTTTGATAAAAAAGCTTTTTATTATAAAAATTTCACTTTATTTATTTCGAAAACGTATTTTTTGCGTTAAAACGAATCTTCTAATCTATATTAAGTTCATATTTTACTTAAATTTATAAATGAAATAATAATTTTATTTTTTCAAAAAATTTAAATTTTTTGTTTTTGTAAAAAAAATTATTTTTTTTTTCTTAATAAAAAATTTCAAAAATTTTGTAAACGTAAATTGAATTAATATTTTCTGCGAGGAAGCATAATTTTCGTGAAATGAACATCACATTTATAAATGTCCGCCCCTTCTTGTTTAATTTTAGTACGAATTTAAAAAAAATAATAATTTACAGTGGGGATTACCGAGTATCAAATAATTCAAGTTCTTATTTATTAATTCTGTTCACAAAATGTAAATCATATTTTTAAATTTGAGATCACAAAAAATTGAAAATAATGGATCCAATATGCTGGATACGATAAACAAATATATTATTATTTTAAAACACATGTGAATATTTAAAACGATAAACTTATATAGCTTTAAGTTATATAGAATTTGAGTTTTAAAAGCTTAAAAAAATTTTTAATTAAAATTTAAAAATCACAAGTCCTATTAATTTTAAGCAAATAAATTTTGTAATACGAATATCTGATTTAAGGTTATTAAAATTTTAAGAAACTTAATATTTAACTTTTATTCCAATTTAACTAATTGTAAGTAAGTTTAATAAGAACGAAATGAACTCGGTGGAGGACAATAACAGATTGACTATACACTATTGTGGAAAAGAAAATCAACCTATATCCCTTTCCGTACAAATCGTTAAATATAATTACATATACCACTTTTTTCAGTTAAATGCAAGTTTCATTATGAATTCACAATTTCCACAGATATTACTTAAACCTGTAATTATGTATCATTATCATCTAAAACTAAAGAGACACTAATATTAAAAATTCTTTTTATAAAAATTTTTTGCAAGGAGAGTATAGCTGCAGCTATAGAGTTAGTATAAAGCACAACGTTTAGAAGGAAAGACAAAGTAAAGTCTAATCGAAATATTTTTCCTTTCCTTCGTGTACTAATTAAATTTAAGAATTTACAAGTTTTTCTTAAACAAAATGTTGAATTGGAAATTACATAAATTTTTATTTTAATACAATTTTTAGAATTTAAAATAAAATTAAATAAATAGGCAATTAAACAATTTTTTATTCTAAATAATACTTTATTTTATTGGGTGTATTAGAAATTTCATGATTTTCATAATTAAAATTTTGAAAACTCAACTGCTTAGATGAAATGTTATGCAACATTAATATAATACTCATTAAAGCTGTTTAATAAGTTGTGGAAAAATATTTTAAGAACAAAGTTTCGTGCATTTAAAATAATGCAAGATTTTGAAAATATTGAAATTGCCAAATTTTCTTTTAAGACAATGACTTATATTGGACTTTGGCGACCTAAAACCTTTAAATCAATATGGGCAATTAATGTTTATAATTTTTACACTATTATTGTGTTATTATATGAATTTTATTTTTCCATAACTTTTTTATTCAACCTTTATCAAAATAGACACAATTCAGCAATGGTTACAAATTATTTATTTTGCTTTACAAATACGTTTCTATTGGCATTTAAAATATCATATTTCACTTATCGTAAGCAAGATGTCAAAGTTTTAATGAACTTATTTCTACAAAAACAGCACCTCCCTCGTAATATTGAAGAAAATGTAATTTATAAAAAGTTTCAAGATAAAGAACGGTTAGTTGGTAATTGTATATGAATAAAAAAGTAATTACACAGTGGAACACTAAAAATTGGGTTAAGACTTGGACTATGATGGGATGAAAGTACAACCCCAGTAGAGTAAAATCCTTAAAGGGTTTTGAAAAGTTAGCGGCATTTTGGTTTCTATTGCAATTTTAAGTTTTCATAATTGAGTGATTTTTGGAAAAATCGCTCTAATCAGTATTTGGTCTGTAAATCATTCATTATTGACAATAGCTACTTACTTTCTTGAGTAAAATTGTAGCTTTTATTCTAATTAACAAATTTTATTAACAAACTATGCTTAAAAAATTACTTTCAGTTAATGATTTGGAGCAAATTATTCGATTTTTCTAAGTTTTTTGATGATAAGCCGCTAAATATTTCACTTTTAGGGTTCCGTACCCAAAGGGAGAACCCTATTAATGAGACTAGTAAAGCAAGGCATATGTGGCCCTAGCGGCCACACGAATTTATCTAGAGGGCTGAAATTTGTTACACATATGTATTTTGGCGTGTAGATTACAGAAAAATTATAACGAATCTCATAGGAATTGATTATCATAGCATTGTCAAGGAAAAACCATGAATTTTTACGAAAAATCCCTAAAAATGACTATGTACCCCCCCACCTGGTGGACACATTTTTTCTCAAATTTGGTACGCACTTATGTATTTTTAAGTGAAAATTACAGGAAAAATATAGAGAACACTATTTGACCAAGACAGTTCATATTTGGTATACATACGTATTTTTGCGTATAGGTTACAAAAAAATCCGGCAGCCCCCTACGGGGGCGGCCACATTCTCATCACGCGCTTCGCGCGTAGGGGCTCGCTTCGCTCGCAAGTTTGAGCGCGCCCTGGGGCGCGCGAAAGATGATTGTCCCACTTCGCGGTCCGATACTGGTACGCGCTTTACTTACTTTTTAACTACATTGTATGATTCAAAAATTTCTCAATTAAATTTAAAAATTGCATTAATTATTCTATTAGAAAGTAGTTGAATGACCGAAGAATCCATTTGGTAGAATGAGATTTTGTATTTGTTTCAGACTTTGTAGTTGTTTTAACTAAATTTTGAAGAAAAATGTGAGGAAGGAGGAAATTATTTTTATTAATTTTATTAAAAAGAGTTAAATTAATTACACGCAGAGTTAAAATAAGTACAAAAGTAATTACTTTAAAAGGGCAGTTTCATATAATCGACCTTTTTTGAAAACTTTATTAGAAACAATTTATAGTTTTTAATAAAAT